CAAGTCAGTTTTGACCCATTGCAACCTTGTGTAGGGTTGCCAAGGAGTGGCTAATGAGTTTGAACCATCAACCTTGCAACTCAAACTGACCTTGTGGTCGAGTGCTTATCCTACAGCATCACACCAGGACTCTCTGTTATTAAGCATGCTCAAATTTTGTTTATATGAGTGAATTTTAACACATAATTAATTAGTATACCATTTGTAGAACCTGGTGCAAGTTATAAATTGTTGCTGTTGTTAAGTAACGTCAAATTGGTTCGAATTCATAGAGACCCTGTATAGGGTTTCTGAGTAGTGTCTGGTAAGCTTGAACCACTGACCTTGCAGTTCAAACTGACCTTGCAGTCCAGTACATCAACCCACACCATGACTACAAATTATAAATTAATGCCTAAAATATTATTCATATAACTCTGCTATACATTGGAAAATCGAGATATACATTTTTCTATGGTATAAAATTTATGGTAGGATTTGACAAAGAAAAATGTATCTTAGTCTGCTTCTCCATTCACTGAAAAATGTTTCCAAAAAAAGGGCAAAAAAAATTGGATTAAATAAAATGGCACTTATTTATTTATTAACCATAAATTTATTACTAAATGGACTCTTAATATAATCATAACCATTTAAAATATTAATTATTAAGTTAAATTTTACATTTGTAGAATATCCACCATAAGAAATTACATCTCAATATCCGTTTATGTCCATATTGCAAAACATAAAGGTTTAAAAATAAAACAAATATGTTAAGAAATATACTTGGCGCTATGTAATTGTAGCTTGTGAAAACAACTCTATTTGGTTTTGTAAGCAATAAAGAAAAAAAATGTTCCATCTAATATTTACCTTAGGTGAGTCTTTTGGTAAATGAGAAAAAGTATATACCTCTGTAACACAGCTTTACAGACAGGAGGTAATACCCAGTTTTTAAAATTAGCATTGGATGTGTTAACTTTATACTTTCCTCTGCCCCTATGTTCTGTATTAGTTATTGAATCATTTTGTTACAGTTGTTTCCTTATTTCAGTTTTCTTAAGTTGGATCAAATATAATAATTATTTTTACTCATTCACATTATTTATTTCCTTGAAAAATTACAAAATTATTAATTATCATCACTGTCATCTAAAACAATTCCACTTATAAAATATTACCTGAATAGGGGTGGTCCTGAATATAATTGTCCTACTATTCCAGATGCTAGTATGTTAAGTATTTGATATATATTCAGATGGTCAAAGGACAATGACTGGTCCTGGATTTTAATTTTTGAATGTGACAAGATGAGAGAGTGCAGGACCAAAAAGGCACGTGACTTTTTCATTCATCTAACATCTGGAAGCCCATTAATCATTCTTGCATAAAAGGAAGACCCATTAAACCATAAATGCTGAAATGATTATTGTGGCAATATACATAACACAAAGGAGGTGCAAACAAACAAGGTTGTAGCTAAAACTCAGTAGAAAAAAAATTACTGGAAAATGTTATGCACAATAATAATATTCATCTCATCACTAAAGTACTGAGTCAGTATTTTCCATTTTATCATAGCAAAAATTAACTATGACTTACTGAAGGTGCATGGTAAAATCAGAAAAATTAGAACAGACTCAAGTGAGAGAGATTTCTAATTTCTAAAACATAAATAAGATAATTTTTCATAATAAGTCAAATTGTTGTTCTTAGGTACCATCAAGTTGGTTTTGACTCACAGTGATACTGCATACAACTGAAAGACAAACATTGTCCTGTCCCGCACCATCCTCACAAACATAATTCCAATAAATATCAAATGTCTATAGACATGACAGCAAGAACAGGTGGCAATTTTCTTCCACATTACTGTTCATGAGATAGACTAGAGCAAGTTATCAAAATTTACCATAATATGCTATAATTTCTTTAAGCTGAGGTGAGACTAAGTTTCATTATTTGTTGTTTTTGAGTCGATGCTGACTCTTAGCAACCCTGCATAGGGTTTCCAGGAGTGACTAGTGAGTTTGAACCACCGACCTTTCAGTTACCAGTCCATTGTTCATTCTATGGTGCCACACAAGAGGTCAAGTTTCATTTGTTGTTGTTATTGTTAAGTACCATCGAGTTGGTTCCAACTCACAGCCACCCTGTATAGGGTTTCTGGGGAGCAGCTGCCGATGGGTTTGAACTGCTGACTTTGTAGTTCGCAGTCCAGTGCTGATTCTACAAAACCATACTTGTAACATTTTATGTGGCTTTTCTTTCTGTGCCAATCGCATTGTGCTAACTTGAGTGTTCCCTTAAGGTACATGACACATGATTAGGCACCTAAAATGCAAAGTAAACAATTGCACACTGATCAATTTTATTTTACAGATTGATCAATTAGATTTTCAAAATTATTGTCACTTTCTAGTGTTTTTAATACAACCAACCCTTCATTTTAAATGGATCATTTAAAAAGGAGATATATTTTGCCCATCAGGAGCACAGATACTGGAATGGAAAAGTCACTATTGCATATATGTTGTTGTTGTTAAGTGTCATTGAGTCGGTTCTGACTCACAGCAACCTTGTATAGCATTTACAAGTAGTGGCTGGTGAGTTTGAACCGCCGACCTTGTGGCTCAAACTGACCTTGTGCTTAACCCACACCAGGACTATATATATATATATTTATATATATATATAAATTCTGACTCTTTAGAAGTCTGGAAATGATCCATAGAATAATATTATTAATATCTTGGATTCTCCTTCATGGATAATTTTTTAAATGGGTGCTAACACAACTTTATAAAGTATATTTTTTGCTCAAATCATCAAAATCAAACAAAAATCAAACACCACCAACAAAAGGCATGTCTTTGTTACAAATAATTCTAAATGGCACACTCATATTTTCAGGTATTGATTGTACAAGGTGACTTACTGACTTATTGAAAGATAGGAATAATGAAGAGGTGTTCAGCATTAATTCATCATTAAGTGAAATGTGATCCAATACATAGAGGTAAACATATTGAATTATCCTGGAAGGGATATGGAGCTTGGGGGATGGAAAAGAAGGAGTACTTATCTGAACACAAACAATATATATTTTTAGCTTAAAAGAGAGACATCCTTGATGTCAATATTTGTATTTATTCTATGCACATCTATTTAGCCTTTGTTTTTTTATGTGCATGTTATTCACACACTGTCTGAATGTGTGGCGCTGTGGGTTAATACGCCAGACTGCAAAGCCGTTTGAACTGTAAAGTCAGCAGTTCAAGCTTACCAGCCACTCCTCAGAAACCCTATACAGGGTTGCTATGGGTTGGAACCAACTGAATGGCACTTAATAACAACAATAAGTTTATGCCAGCAAAAAGAATATAGTAATCAGAGCAATGATCTTTGTTGTTGTTGTTCAATGCCACAGACTCTCTAGTGGTACCTAAAATTGGCTCACATTTGATCTTTTTAAATTGTAGTATCATCCTCCATAGTAAATGTAATCTCTATCAAAATTAAAATGGATAATGAACTTGAATGGCAGTGTTGGAGAAAAGTAGATGGGACTTAACTTCTGTACTGATAATCTTAGCAAATATCTACTCCAAACTCTGTTCTGCAGCTGAGAATACAGACTCTTCACAACAGGGAAGTACTTTCTGGAGGTCACGACAGATTTGTGGCTAGAGTCTAAGTCTCATGAGGATGATTATAGTGTAACATGCTCACATTTCAGCACAGTGCCTGGCACATAGGTATTCTTCAAATATTTAGGGTGGATGGATGAATTAAAAAATGAAAACATGAATAAGTGAAATAGTGAGACCATGGTGGAGCAAATCTAGATAATACTTTTCAGTAACAGGAGATTGTCAGCTCAGAGGAAGTAAGAATGATGATTTGTTCTTTTACAAATCCCTCAAAAAATGTTCTTATTTGAATGATGTTTGTGGAAGAAACAGTGCTAGGTGCCTATAGAAGTTGTTACACCCGGGATCATTTTGAAGTGATTGTAATTCTCTTTAATGTATCTGTGGTACTGCTAATCAGTGTCATTGTAACTGTTTTGAGGAACTGTTCTCCATCTTTATCATAGGACATTGGACTGTCTGAGCAGCCATGTGTATAATATTAATCATGTTGTTGTTGTTGTTATGTGCCATGGAGTCGGTTCCAACTCAGCGACCCTGTACAGGGTTTCTGAGACTGTAAATCTTTACAGGAGAAGAAAACCTCATCTTTCTCCCATGGAATAACTGGTAGCTTCGAACTGCTGACCTTATGGTTCACAGCCCGATTCATAACTACTACGCTACCAGAGCTCCTTATAATATTAATCTTAGTCACATTATATTAACTTGTTTTTAGCCCACCTCAAAATATTCTCGTCAAGTCGATTCTGACTCATAGAGACCCCCTGTGCAGAGTTTCCAAGGAGCAGCTGGGGGGTTTGAACTGCCGATCTTTTGATTCATAGTCCAGTGCTTATTCTACAGCACCACACCAGAAGTCCAATATTAGATGCCTCCAAATATTAGATGCCTTGATAACATACTTGAAGTAATAAACAGATTCACTATAACACAGGAGTTTTCAGAAATGGAAATGAATGTGGAGACAAACATGTAAGGGTGAAGGCAGAAAACATTTAAATTACTTGACTAAAGATGAAAAGCTGTTAAAGAATTATCATTGAAATGGTCTAGCTAGGTCTCAAATAAATTATAGGCCATTGAAAAATACCGTTTTCAAATAACAGGGCAAAGGGAGGAAGTCAACAGCAGGTGTTGGTATGTAAACAAGCCAAATTTAGGTGACAGAAGATCAGGCATGTTTCATTATGGATTCTTGGAAGCCATTCCTGAAGATTTAAGTGGGTAAATAGACAGTGACATTTAAAGTGTCAAAAGGCAGTCTGGGTAATTGCCTCCATGTTCCAAACAGTCAAATTCAAGTGTAAGAGTAGTCTTTGTAAACAAAGTTCATGGCAGTGCTTTGTAATAGAAGAGGAGTTACTAAGACTGTTTAGGGACCCAGGTAAACTTCCAGCCTCCTTCCTCATCTCGACACACAAAGGCTTGTCCTTGGTGGAAGGAATGTGTTTTCACATTACAGTGAGGGCTCAAGGATGTGGAAAAGGCCATTTCTGTCTTGTTAGGTGACACATTAGCAGTATAGTAAGGGAAGGTTTGTAGACCTCCGGGAGGTTTAGAAAGTTGAGAAAGGAAGTGAATGTCTTCCTTATGGCTGGCAGTGCTCTGTAAGGGGGTTGTTCTGTCGCCTGCACAGTCAGTCAGCATACCCTCCCTGGGAATGTTTTCATAATCAATCACATCATCTGGAAACTGGTGAAATGTGCTAGAGATTCTTGTGGGAGGGAAGGAAAAGGCACTGTAGTTAGCTGGTAAGGTGTCATCAATGGTGTTGAGGTCTTTTAATCCAAGTGTTTGAAGGACCCAGGGGTCCACAGTGGGCCCAGGTTGTTCTTCACAAGTAGCAAGTTCACTAGATAGGTTTCTCTTGGCATTTTTGAGATGGGGAATTTCAGGAGAACGGTATCTCGGCTCTTTGGGCTTCCTCTTTCCACTTCTAAATTTCCCACATGCTTTGGAGAACTCATTTGATGACAATAATTTCTGGGGAATTAATATTGAAAGCACACTTAATCAGACAATCAACCAACATGATTTTATTTCTTATAGTCTAATTATACCTCCTAAAAATATTTACTACCATTAGAAACCACTGAATGGATCTTAATTCAGATGTTACAGATTAGAACTATACTCCATTGGAATTTCAGGGCTGTGATCTTTTGGAAGCAGATCACCAGAACTTTCTTCAGAGGCACCTTTGGAGTACTGCGCAGCATTAACTGCTTGTGTCATGGAGGGACTCCAAAAACATTTACTATTTATGTAAATTCTGTAGAAAAATGGATTACACTTTTATACACATACTTAAAACACACATATACTTATGTGTGTGTATTTTTTACATATGTTTATAAAATTGTAATCAAATCTTCTGAGGAATTTAAGTGACATGTTCAAGAGCAAAGATGTCAGTTTGAGGACTAAGGTGTGTCTGACCTAAGTCATTGTATTTTCAGTAACCTCATATGCATGTGAAAGTTGGACAATGAATAAAGAATATCATAGAATAATTTATGTATTATGCATGATTTTAGTTATGATGTTGGTAGAGAATATTAAAGGTACCATGGACTGCCAAAAGAACAAACCAATCTGTGTTGGGAGAAGTAGTGCCAGAATGCTCTTTGGAAGCCAGGATGCCCAGACTTTGTCTCTCAAATTCTGGACATTTTATAAGGAGGGACCAGTCCTTGGAGAAGAACATCATGCTTGATAATTGGAAGGTCAGCAAAAAAGGGGATGCCCCCCAGCAATGGGATCAAGCATAGCAACGATTGTGAGGTTGGTATAGGACCATAGGAATCCTGGTGTGTCGCTGTAGGATAAGCACTCAACCACAAACCCATTAGTTACTTCTTGGAAACCCTACACAGGGTTGCTATGAATCAGAAAGGAAATCAAGGCACTTAGCAACAATAAAAATATATACACATAGAGTGAGGTAGTTCTAGAGGATAAGCACTGGACTGCATGCAGATCACAAGGTTGGCAACTCGAGCCCACCAGTCACTCCGTGGGAGAAAGACAGGGCTTTCTGCTCCTACATAGATTTACAGCCTCCAAAACCCTATACAGGGTTGCTAGGAGTTGTAACAGACTTGATGACACTTAACAACAGACTTGATGATACTTAGCAACAACATTAACATATATAGAGAGAGGGAGTCTGGGTGGTGAATGGGTTATGCCTTGGGCTGCTAAGCACAAGGTAAGAAAGTCAAATCCACTAGCCACTCTGTGGGAGAAAGAAAAGGTTTTATACTCCCATAAAGATTTATAGTCTTGGAAATCCTACTTAGGGTTGCTATAAGTTAGAATCGACTCAGTGGCAGTGCGTTATAATGTATAAAGTTCTGGTGTAGTGCTGTAGGTTAATGCGCTGGACTGCAAAGTCAATTTGAATGACAAACACAAGGTTGGTAGTTCAAACTCACCAGCTGCTCCTCAGAAACACTATACAGACTATACAGGGTAACTATGGGTCAGAACCGACTTGTGTATGTATATGTGTGTAT